ACCAGATCTTAAAATTTTTGGAGAGCACGGCCATTTAGTTGCATTACTAATTCTACAATGTGCTGGTGCTTCGCAGCCTCCATACCTAAAACTCATACGCTGCAGCTGATCATTGCTTCTAGAGCAACCTAAATTGACAATATTTCCATTTTTGACTCTCTCAAGGGTTATTCTTCCCGCAGATTTGTCACAGATCTCTGAAAAAAGTATTTCAGCTGTTCCCAGTTAACTTCGGTACCTTATTTGCTCTGATAGCAAATCTTTTTTATGATATTAAACCATGCCTTTTCCTGATCAAAACTATTTACAAAATTTTATGTTTTATTTCGCTCATACTTTCTTCTAATCTGTTCTGATTAGACAAAAAATTATCCTGATATAAAAGAACTGTTTGGGGAAAATAACTGATACTTATCAGCTCTAAATTTCAGTCTCAAGTGCGGCTAACTCAGTGCGAAATTGTAATGAGAAAGTACTGACAATTTTTTAACGTCCAACTGACAATTTTAAAAAATTTTGTACTCTATAATTTTTCTGAAAAATCGCCTGCTAAATGTGAGAAATGTTTAACAAGCTTCTTGAAATGCTTTTAAACTAAAAACAACATTGCTATCTCATGAAAAGTTAATTTGTTGAAGTTAAAAACAATTATCGGACTTTAGAGCTGTCAAAGAAATTTGAACTACAAACTGCAAGTACTCAACGAAAATTGCAGGTATAAGCAAAAACTTCTCTAATCAGTATTTGGCAGGACGATATCGTACAGTACGATGTTTGAGCTGTCAAGTTTGCAGTTCCATCCTTATGAGGAGATTGTGGATGGGAAACTTATTCAATGTTTGCAATTCTTCAGTGCTATAATTCAATTAGGTCTGTGATGCCGACTTTTTTTTTCACACTTGCTGCGAAATAGTGACTTGTTAAATTTAAAAGTTCTAACTTCCTTTTTCAGCAGTTCAGTGCTTTCCATACGACTTTGAATATTACCGAGTTTCAAAGCGAACGCTATTACTCCTCCGTGATAAAGAGAGAAGAAGAATTGGTTGACAGAAAAGATTTATTGCCATTGCTGTTGTTGCAGTATCCATGAGGAAAGTTTGTAGTTGTTTTTCATAATATTCTGTAAGGTTGAGGGTAGTGCAGGGTAAAAAATTTTGAAGAAGCGGTTTACAGCATTATCTACGTGAGCTGTAAAAAAGATCAAAGAACAAAAAAGTGAAGAACAAAGATTTTTGTTCGATTTTTATTGAAAGGTACTGCTTATTGTAATGTTTAAAAAATTGAGGAACTCCTGCAAATTTCACTCTGTGAATTTAAAATCTTTGCAAAGAGCAAAAATTTACCATCAAATTAATAAATAAGGCAGGTTATTTAAACATTAAAAAGTTTGCCCACTTATTCTTTCCAAAATATTTTTGTCTCTGCTTCATCCTTCGTTTTTTTTTTTGTTTTGTTTTCTTAGGATAATAACGGTATACTAAACGTTAAGCTGAAATGTCAGACACAACTGTTTGTAATTCGTTCCGTTTTTTAAATTTAACCACTAATGCTCACTGTTTTACAATATGCGGCTTCTTTGGTTGGGTACTTCAGAGCTTTGAAATATCCGACGTTAAAAAGGTATATCTGATCTTTTGGCGGGTATTAGTTTCAGGCAGGCAAAAGTAATCATCACAAGCGACTTTCTTGCGTTTTTCACCTTCAGGACAAGGTTTATGTTGGCAAGCTTCAAGCAAAATAAAATTCAGTAATGTAGAGAAGCTAGAGAAAACGAAAAAACTGAAGCAAACTTTTGCAAAATTTTGGAAGCAATATTTTGGGCAGTATGCTAAATCGTTGTTTTGGAAAAATGATTTTCAATTCTTTGCCTTCTGTAACTTTACTTTCTTTTTTTTTGAATTATTCACTTGCTTCCATTCTGTTTCTTTAAAAATTAATGCAGTGCCCCTAAGTTCTGCATTCATTGCAAAGTTTTTTACAAAGAATTATTAAGAGTTTGGATGGAAATGGAAATGAAAAAATCTACCAACACGTACAGTTTCACTTGGGACGTCAAAAGAATGGCATGCAGAAGGATATTATAAGCCATAGTTTGCTAATGCTTCTTGAGTCTTTCAAACATTGAATCTGATTAGTAGTCATTGCTTTCATACAGCAGTCAATATAATACGAATTGACAAAATTTATTAAATCTGTTAATTCTGAAAAAAACCTTTTATTAGCAAAAGTAGCCGACTAGTCAAATTTTTCATGTTATTTTTTTCAATCATTCCTTTTCTCTCTTGTCTACCGTTGCAGCTAAATTTGTTGCTCTCCTATTATTCCTTTTATCTTCCAAACGTTGCAAAATAATATTTGTCGTTGAAAAACTTTGTTAAAGTGGCAAGACCTATGAAAATGCATTATGAAAATTTCCATTTTTGAAACAACATTTTACCATTTATTCTGCTGAGCACTATAATCGCTTCCTAATTTTCTATTAAACGCATTTTTAGCCACTAATTATCTTGGTTTCTGGAAAATCCTTTTTGTGAAAGTGCGGACAGATTAATATCAGGTGAGTTTAAGTCGCGAAGAAATAACAGCAGGTTTCGAATGTCAGGTTGCGAGTTTTTTCTTAGAGTGCAATTACGCCGGAAAGTTGCCACATTTCGGTCATTTTTATCTTGCAGGAGCCAAGAGAAAGCTGGCAAAAGCAGAGGGTTCGAAACAGTATGCTGATTGTGTATATCCAATACGCTATAGATAATACTTCAATTTTTTCCGATAAAAACGGTATAAGCTAGTTTGTCCACTGAATAATAAATCTTAGCGTAGCGATAAGTTCAATTCAAAATCGATTCCTATGTGAGAATTAGCCTATCATTCTTAGAAATCGCTTTATAGTATTCTCTCTGCCGTTTATTTGTTTAAAGATTTGGCAGAACACTTCCAACGCAGTCGAGGCTTCTCGAAAAAATTTGAAAATAATATAGGATCAAAACCGATGAAACTGACAAATGAAGAACAATTTCGTACTGCCTTCACTGTCAGAAGTACGAGATTTACAAGAAAGTTTGTTGTTCTGAATTAGTACAACAACTGAAAGCACCGAAAGTTGCCAGTTACATGGATAAAAACTGTTGCCAGAAAGAAGGAAAAGTAAATGAAACTAAATTGGCCGAGGCAAAAGTATCACTTGCGAAAAATTAAAAAGCTATGTATAAAGCTCCAATGGAAACTGATTTGTTTGTTGGAGCCGGAACTAGTGAGGAAGGTGAATAAGATTTTGACTAACATTCATGTGGAAGCATTTTTTTCTTGTCGAAGAAACTACCAGTAAGATGAATTATCATTTCACGACTGATCAGCAATATTTTCTCACAAAATGGAGCTTCATCTACTCTGTAAATCATGCACAAATTGATAGGTAACTCTAATCACCACAAACGACAAAAAATTCTTACAAATAAAGTATATTAGTCTTTTCTCCTTTAATCAGTATATTATATGGCAAGTTTCTGGTTAGAACGACCTACATCACACTACTGTTATATTCACTAAAAAATGCAGTAATTTTTAAATTTCTAGGCCTTTACAGTATGAAAATTTGAACCTTCATATCCCGACAGTCCACTAAGACTGCAGTGAAGACAAAAAAAAAAAATCACCAACAACAATTTTATCGCAGCACTGAAACCTAATTCGCACATCAATTATGCCTCACGTTTCTTTTAAGGTCAGATACTGAACTTTAAATAAATAGTTTGTTTTGAAGAACAATAGTATATGTACTTTACTCGTCAGCAAATACCATATAGTGATAGAAGAAACAAAATCAGGAAGTTCTGATCTACCAGCCATACTTATAAGTCGTGCTGAAGTTGAGACTCCAGCAAGTAAGTGGTAAAAGCCAACCTCCACTTATCGCAGCCCTTTAAAAGATGAAACTTCTGAATCACAGCTGCTACACACTGTAGCGTTATCTGCTTCTAGGAGTGGGCGGGACTACGGCAAATGAGTCCCGCCCACTGGCACTGGACGCGTCCTGTCCGCACCCGTAAGGGACGAGAGTACCCGATGATGTCCCATATGCTAATGGATTTATCGCAGTTCCATCACTGTCTGTCTTTAGGTCACATCCAGATAGGCTTTCTTTGTTTTTGTTTTACCGATTACTCGAAAAAATGAAGACGAAATCTTTTTTTTTTTTT